CCTGAAGATAATGGAGAGCCCGCCTTCAAAACAGAAGTGTAAAAATCTTTCGCCTTTGAAATTGTATTAAGTCTATAATATATCCCCGCATAATTCACCACTATTCCAGCTGGCAACCAGCAGCTTTCAGTATTGTAGGCATTTTCAGTTTATACCATTACATTTTTCCTTTTGCTGTTCCACTTGCAAGCTCTATGATAGAAACTACCCCTGAAAATAGTAGTACAGGAATAAAACAAGATGTATATATAATATCAATTCTGACCTAGATAATTGTATTATAATTTTCTATATTAATATAGCATTCTATCCCTCTGTTCCAGATGATAAGACTAAATTTAATGGCCTAAATTATAGAAAAAGAGATTTTGGAGACATACATATAGCAAGCAATAGTTAATCCATCAGGAAAATCTGTTATACCATAAACAATGGGAAGGATGAATAACTATGCTACACTATGTCCAACAAGACCCCTTGGCACTTTTATTATTCTAACACAGGAATGTCAATAAACCTCTCTCTTGTGCAACCATGTATTGTATTTTTTATTTTTATTTTTTTCCCTGAAAGATTTCAATTTGTTTTTCAATTGAATTGTACAGAAGAAATTCTGAAGTGAGTTGTTTTGGTCTGATTTTTTTGCATCTCAAAAATGTGGGATTTTAACAAGGAGGTGTAGATTTTCTATATCTATGCAAGTCTCTTACATTTTTATAAATCACAGTCTACTCTACCAAATACACCAAGCATAAGATCTGGAAAAATCATTACTTTTTATTTTAGACAAAACATGTAAGTCTAATCAACAGCACAGTCATATATACTCACATGGCTCTATAATATTGCAACACCTTTATGAGTGATTTAAAACAATGTTTTCTCAATTTGTGCTCCTGCCAAACCTCTTGTACAAACCTCTGAGATATATTAGATAATATCTATAATAGTAAATTATTCCTTATTATCTGAATTTAGGGACAAGTTTGAACTTTACTAATCTCTTCCAAATTTCAACCTTAACCTAGACCAGGGATAGGCAACCTCGGCTCTTTTATGACTCATGGACTTCAACTCCCAGAATTCCTGCCTACCCTTGACCTAGACCAACCCACACAATTGCTTAACTTTCTTATTGCACTATCAGTGTTTACCAGTTATTCAATGCAAGAATATCTAATACATCTATCAATTTTATGCAAGAAGAGCATGAATCAGCATTGCAGAATGGCCACTTAGAGAGTAAATGCAATTTTAGGCAACATCAACAAACATAAAACTTCAAAATCATAGGAAGTAATAATTTAACTATATTAAATTATTATATACCAGTCAAACTCTGTCTGAAATACTATGTTACAATTCTGAGTACTACATTTTAAAAACAATTCAGAAAAACTGGAATAGTTGCAGAGAAAAGCAACAACATGGTCATGGAATTAGAACTTGGAAGTGAGGCAAAGCTGGATTAAGGTCAACTGATACCATAAGCACAGTGTCCTTCTGTTCTTTCCATTGTTTAAATGACATTAAAATGCAATAAGTGCTGAAAACCAGTCAAATATGACAGTGAATGAATGAATGATGATTATTACTGTTCTTAGCACAAACAGTCAGATGTTCAGACTGAATCTGGCATTTAATCTAGCTATCGCAGCAGCTCCCAACCTTTTCTATACCCCGCACCCCTAGAACGCTTGATATATTCTCACACCCCTTACAAAAGTTCAAAATAACATCAACGGATTATCCATATACACTATAATTTTGAAAACCCAAGTTTATGCACCCCCGGGAATATCGTCTCACACTCCCATGGGGTGCAAGTATCCCCGGCTGGGAACCCCTGACCTATCGAGTCATTTTCAAGTATCTTCAATAGGCAGATGTAGATGTTTGATGGTGTTAAAGGTATTGTCCCAGGATGTAAGCTTTTTTGAATAAAACTGCAATTGACTGATGGCAAATTTCAAAATGCCAATGATCTTCAGGTGGTGTTCCAATTGTTTTGGGAAGGTGCCTATTACTAGTTGTACTCCCTTTGCTTTCTATTGCTACAGTCATTCTATTTCTATTTGTAGGTCTTTGTATTTTGTTATCTTCTCCTGTTTTTTTCTCTTCTATTCTGCTATCTCCAGGTACTGTCACATCCACTATCCAGACTTTTATGTCTTTATTATCGGCAATTAAGTCTGAGGTGTTATGTAACACTTGCCTGTCTGTTTGAATTCTACAGTCCCAGAGCAATTTAGTTTCTTCATTTTCTATGACTTTCTCTATTTTATGGTCCAACCAGTTCTTGCATACAGGCAAATGATATTTCTTGCAGATTTTCCAGTGCATCATTGTTGCTACTTTGTTATGCTGATGCCTATTGTCAGTCTGTGTGATCCTCTTGCAGCAGCTTACCAGGTTTCTTCAGCTTCTTTGAATAGGGGCACTTACTGTCTATTGCCGTCTTCTCAATTCTGGCTTTACATACATTTGTTCTTAAGGTTTGGTCTTGTGCAGCCAGAATTGGTCCTTCGATCTCATTCTTCAACTTTCTTGCCAGATCTTGTTATTATCTGCTTTCCCTGCTATTTTTTTAATATATTGGCCATATAGTGCTTTGTCTTCCCATACCTCCATTCTATTCTTTATCTGGTCTTTCTTGAAGGTCAGTTTGATCTCTCCGGTAGTCAGTAAGCCTTCCTGGTATACGAACTTCAGTGAATCTTCTTCACTGTTCTTCAGATATTCTTCCAATGCCCTTTTTTTTTCTTCAACCATTTAATGTACTTGCAACATTCCACACCCACATAGTTTCCATGGAAGGTAGAATTTGTCAAAATCACTGCAAGAACAAAGGGCATGATTCATTGTCATTATTTTTCTGATCTTCTTATCCGTTGCTTTTATTTCTGCTTGCGTCCAGTCCACTATTCCAGCTGTGTATCTAATGTCTGGAATTGTTCAGGTGTTGATTGCCTTGATTGTATTTACTCCATTGAATTTGGACTTTAAGATCTTCTTCACTCTCTTGATGTATTCATCACTAGTCTTTTTTTTTTTAATTCAGTGTGCTTGATGTTATCAGCTTGAAGGATACCCAGATATTTGTACTAATTTTCTTCATCCAGACTCTTGATGTTATTTTCATACAACATTTTGATTCCTTCAGTTTTCACAATTTTTCCCTGTTTGATAGTGAGTGTGGCACATTTGTCCAAGCAAAACTCCATTGCAATATTTTGGTTGTATATATAAACATATTGAGCAGTGATTCTATTTCAGATGGTGTCATTTTACTTACCTCGGAGGGATGGAAGACTGAATCAGCCTTGAGCTGATGAGGATCGAACTGCTGGCAGTCAGCAGAATTAGCCTGCAATGCTGCATTCTAACCACTGTGCCATCACATTATTTTAACATTTACAATGCTTAAAATGTTGCAGTAGTCCTGGAAAAACTTGAATAATTCTAAAGCCATTTTCAACCATAAAACGTCACAGACTGACTTGGAGTTATACATTCTTAGCCCACACTATTTCACAAGGATTGTTGCTACAGGGAAAATGGAACAGAACTGCTTACTTGAAATCCAGAAAGAAAGTGGATGGGGCTATAAATCTAATAAATAATTTTATTCCCAAAATAGTAAAGTTCTAAATACAAGCAGTCCAGATTTCAAAATAATCTTCTGCATAATGAGATATCAGCAGTAAAAAGTTAATTGCATGATAGAAAAAGAAGCAAGATGTTCAGTCATGTGGGGTGTGTGTGTGTGTGTGTGTGTGTGTGTGTGTGTGTGTGTGTGTGTGTGTTCTTCTGGACTACATTTCATGAATGCTTTGAATGTCCAGGACCCATGAAAGAATCTTAGACAATAACAAGTTTACCATTTCAGTAAGATATTTCTACAATTTGAATTAATAGGGCTAGGAATTTTGTCAGTCCAGACATTCCTGGGAGAGGTTGGAGACAATCTTTAGCCCGCTCAGCACCTGCGAGAATTTGACTGGAAGTCAGCCAGGCCTTCCGCAACTATCTCCCTTCACTTTAAAGCAATGAATACACTTAGGCCGCGTATTTCCCTTTGTTCCTGTGGCCATTCTACTACTACAAATGAAGAAATCTGGGGAAAGTCAAACGTGTGCATACTGTTTCGCTTTTTGAACAGATTTAATAAAAACTTTTCTCGCATCCCATACGCGGCCATTTCCTTTGGGAGCCGCGATTGTGTAAAGACAGAACAATCCTGCTGCTGTGACTTTTTCTCAAAAGAAGTAAGCATACTTCACAGGGGAGACCGGAAGAGATTTTGCGTCCTCCTGATTTCCCCCGCCGCGACGGGGCATCCTTACCTGTATTGCCTGATCGTGAGAGCTTCGCGAGGTTCCACGGGAAACCCAGGCAGGGAGAGACATAAGTATCCCTCCAAGTCTTCCTGGCGAAATCGGTGCTGTTCCCGTACTTCAGTAGTGTTGGCTTCACTTGCCATTTTTGCGAAATGAATTCGCTTTCAGACCAGCGGTTATCTTTTCGCAGAGCAAAGGTTGCAGTAGGTAAAACGTACGCTTTCTACGCCTGGAACGTAATACCATCCACTTTAGGAGGCGGGCAAAAAAGATCTCAGTACAGTGTAGCGATTGGCCTTCTACACAATTTACACCCTCCTCTTAGAAATCACACCGATTGTTTCGAAAGAACGGATTTCTTATAGCTGCGACCCTGATCATACTTTCGAGGATTCACCTGACGCTCTCCGAATGTGAATAGACTACACTTCCCATCATCCTTGTTATACATTACTGGATGAGGGCAATGGTAGCTCAACAGACGTGGAGCGCGTTACGAAATGCTACCCAGCAGTTCTGTTAAAAACTTTATCCTGGACTGCATTTGCTTAGCCTTCTAAAAAGTGTCCTAAGTTGAAAGAATATGTTACTATTCCAGAAACTTTTTACCGCCGGAACTGTGTTTGGCGGAAGTGGGTTGCGGCGGGGATGGCTTTTGCTGTTACTCCAGGAAGCGTTGGGGACGGAGACGTGTCTCTATTGATGGGATTGACTGGTTTGAGCTGAGACGCCGGTGGAAACCTAGGCGGCTGTTTTTTGGGGTGAAGGGTAGGGTGCTATTTTAGTACTGCAGGGCTCGATCATGGCCACCTCGGCGAACCAATTAGAACAGCTACGGCGCCGCATCCAAGAGCTTGAGGAAGAGCTCGTCCGGGAGAGGGGAGGTAGTCAGGGTACCCGAGCCCGGATCGCGGAGATGAGTCCCGAGGTGACGGACTCCAATCCGTACAGGTGAGGGTCGACGTGCGAAGGGGAGAGGCCAGTGGTGGGGCTGCCTTAGCTTCCCCTACCAGCTGGGCACGAAACCTCTTCTGGGTGCAAACCCAGTTCGATTTTTCCTTGGAATTTTAGAACTGGATTATTATTATTATTTACTATAGCCACAGAAACACCGTTGTTCTTAATCATAGGACAGATGTTTGCAGGCAGAGAAGTGTTTTCACAATTCATTCTTTAAAGCAGCAATACTAGATGATGGGAAGGACATGTCTCCGAGTCTGCTGTTCTGACATCATGATGGGCCTTGGAACCAATACTCCCTGAATCATAGAATCGTAAGGCTGGAAGGGACCTCAGAGATTTTCTAGTCCAACCCTCTGCTTAAGGCTGGAGTTTTATATCATCCCAGTCAAATTGTTGCCCAGCCTATTTCTGAAAACCTACAGTGATGGACCACCCACAATCCCAGGACACAAGCTATTCCATCTATTAATTGCTCTCACTGTCAGAATTTTTTTCCTGGAGTTCTAGGTTGTATCCCTGTTGCTTGCTGTCCTGCCTTCTGGTGCCCTCGAGAGTAAGCCAATTCTCTGTTCTTTGTGACAGCCACACAAGTACTGGAAGACAGTTATGATGATCTTTCTCTTCAGTAGGCTTAGGCATACCTAGCTCCCTCAACCATTAATTATACAATTTAGCCTCCACGTCTTGTATCATCTGTGTTGCTCGTCCTTGTACATTTTCCAGGATCTCTACTATTTTATTTTATTTTTTGGTATCCTGGTGACCAGAACTGGATGCAATATTCCCAGTGTAATGTAAAGCAGTACTTTCACTTCTCGTTTCCTTGTCACAATTACTTTATTGATGCAGCCTAGGACTGCATTGTTTTTTTTGGCAGCTGTAGCACACTGCTGGTTCATACTTAAGTAGTGGTCTGGATCGCTTTCACAATTACTAGTATTGAGCCAGGTACCACCTATTCTATACCTATGCATTTGATTTTTCCTGACTAAGGGAAAACCACCAAACTGCATTGTTTGATAGGGCCCAATGCTCAACTCTGTCAAGATCCTTCTGGATCTTAGGACTATCTTCCAAAAGTATTGGCTGTTCCCTCCAGCTTGGTGTTGTCTGCAAATTTTATGAGTTCCCTTTCTATCCACTCTTCTAGATCATAGAGATTCATCTGGGGGAAAAATTGCAAAATCTTAAGATGAACAGAACGTATGGAACTCCATATTTGATGTATCTGTCATTCCCTGCTATTTTACCCCAGTATGCCCCAGTCAACTATGCTCCCTTTTTTTCACTGCCAAATCCTGTTAGGTTATTGCTGAATCATGGAAAACATGTTTCTTCATGTTAAAAATAGCATGAAATGGCAAAGGAAATTAATTGCTAGATTTAGCAGGTCAACAATTGTCCTGGCCTAAATCAGCTGTTGAAATTCATGACAGGATAATGGCTGTATCTAGCTTCAGCATGGTAAATATTAATACAATTCTGTAATCTTTGGTGATCTTTAAAGAATTTCAACTCTGTTACACTAGTTACTTTTTTAAACCCATTCAATAACATTTTAATTTGCTAGAATAACTTTTATAAAGGTAACAAAAGCCAGCAAATTAGAATAAATAGCCCAGAGAGCAAAAAAAGTAATTTACAGTATGTGCCAGCTTCTTTGAGTAGGGGATTCTGAAAATGAAATGCCAGAACTAAGAAGGACAGTAAATTGAAAGCTGTGATATTATCAAAATGTTATTGTGTACAACAGATTAATACATTAATACATGCTCATACCTTGATGTATGAGCATAATTGAGCCAACATTTCTGTTGCTAAGTTAAACATTTGTTGAGTGAATTTGTCTTATTTTACGACTTTCTTACCAAAATTGTTAAGTGAATCACTGCAGTTGTTAAGTTAATAACACAGTTGTTAAGTGAATCTGATTTTCCCATTGAGTTTGCTTATGAGAAGGTTGCGCAAAGTGATCACGTGACCCAGGACAGTGCAACCATCATAAATATGAGTCAGTTGTCAACCATCTGAATTTTGATTACATGACCATGGGGATGCTGCAACGGTTGTAAGAGTGAAAAATGGTCATAAGATTTTTTCAGTGCTGTTGAAACTTTGAACAGTCACTAAATGAACAGTTGTAAGTCGAGGACCACCTATATACAAAACAATAAACTATGAAAATGATGTACCATCAAAACTATAGAAGGCAAAATTTAATTGTACAACAATTAAATTAGAAATCTATTGGCATGTTGAATATATTTACATATGCCCATATACAGTAACTCAGATAATTATAATCTTTCAGAGTGTCATGATTTAATTGATACCTCCATACAGATAGTAATTTCAACAGGATAGATCTGCAAATTGTGCAGTCAACCATTGAAAGCAATTTGTTAAATAGAGATTTAAAATTGAAATCATTTATGAACTGTGGAATTTTGGAAAGCTGCTGTGCCCTGTAATGAATTTTTTAAAAAATCTTTTCTTAACAAACTTTTCTTTCTGTTTCTCTTTTCTCTACTGTAGTCGCCTGATGGCGCTGAAAAGAATGGGAATTGTAAAAGATTATGAGGTGGGCTAATGTTTTTTTGTAAATAATTTGTCTCAGAGTTTTAACTTGATGGGGCAAAGTATTTAAAAACTTTGGGTTTTTATTACAGAAAATTCGTTCATTTGCCGTGGCAATAGTGGGTGTTGGTGGAATTGGCAGTGTGACTGCTGAAATGCTGACAAGATGTGGCATTGGTAAGGTAATAGTCATTTCTTCATTATAATTACACTATATTCTTAATTCTGCATAAGAATATTGATAGTCTATGGAGAAATGAATTGCCATTTGTTGAAAGTGTATTCATCATGTGCATTGTAAGGCATGAGTAACAGACATATGAATGATGGCCCCCATAATGGATGCTATAATTAATTTCCTTAGCTTGTATTTTACAGAATGTGTGCCTTCTCACATTTACATTTTCAGTAATATTGCCATCCTACTCTTTTTCAAAAGAAATTATTTTTATTATTCAACTTAACACCGTATCATATTGAATATATTCTAAGACACTTATATTAAAAACAATGAGCTAGATGGTTTTTGAACAGCAACTCTGGCTTTCTGGAATTAATTTGAACTTGTTTTATCCTATCCTTCCAGTCTCCAAAGACTGGGTCAAGATATTTACCACATCTCTTGCCCATGCTGCCGTGAGATTTTAAAGGGTGTGTAATCATCGTATAATGATCATTTCACCTAGACCAATGACTGACCTTTCCTTGCAGTTTTATGCATATTATAAATAACATGTGGAAGAGGACCAAGCTTGTCAGCATTCGTCATTGGGATAGACGTGCCTTTGATGACAAACAAGAAAAGAACGACAGGAAAATAAGTACTCTTTACCGCAATCCTTGCAGATGGTCAAGAAGAATACATGACAAAGGATCCTGAATTGTAAAAGAAAACCAGTTTGGTATACTGCTTAAAGCAGAGGTCCCCAACCTTTTGGGCACCAGGGACCAGTTTCCTGGACAGAGGTTTTTCCAGAGGGTGCATGCTTTTGTGTGTTGCCTGCATCCCACAGATGGGGCTTTGTTTGTGCGGCACAGTTGCTGGCATGCTTGTGGCCCAGTACTGGTCCATGGACTGGGGGTTCAGGACCCCTGGCTTAAACAGTTGTTCTAGGAACTAGAAAACTATGAGTTCTAGATCACCCTTAGGCATGAAAACCAGTTGGGTGACTTTGAGCAGTGACTCTCTTTCAGCTCAATCCTTGCAAAATACAAATATTTGCAAATAGAAATAGAATAACTAATATAAGTATCAATAGGTATCAGTAGGCACAATTCCAAGACATATGGAGCTCCATTTGAACACCATTAGCATTGACAAAATTACTCTCAGTCAAAAGACAGCTTTACTTGGAACCACTTACAACCTGCAATGATACCTTTTAACACCATCAAAAATATCAATCTATCCTAGATCCTTAGGAAGGACTTGATAGGTGGATAAAAATGCAAAATCCAGTCTAAAACCGACTGTGCTACTAAGAAGTTTAACAGGAGCAGAACCATATTCCTCCCGTTTAGTTCTTTATTATCCACCAGAACAATCAATACCCTTTTTGTCCAATCAATACCAGAAGAGAGTAAGGAATAAATGGGGCTTACCCATTGTAAGATATATATACTCATGGAAATTTATAAAATGAATGGATATTTGAAAGAAATTACAGTCAAGTTCCATTTAAAAATTGCGAACTTAGAAACAGTTATAAGTGGTTTAGAAAATTTGATATTTATCAATTTAATATTCATTAATCACCTAGTCTAAAAGCATTCTTTCTCAGACATTGATAATTGCTTAAGTATATTGTTTAAAGATTGCTTATCTATTGCAAATGTTTGGAAATGTTTGCTAGATATAACATTTTCTTAGATCAAGAAAATTGTTTAATTTTGGAGTAGTTGAGAAAATTAGTTAATTCACTTCTGTGGATATAGAAAAGCTCCTTTCACAAGTGCCTTAACTTCTTATAGTAACTAAATTTGCTTAGTCTTTATAATTATGTGCCTTTTGCCATTTCAGCTTGGGTTTCAATTACCTGTGGCCTACTGCCTTATTTTAGTTTTTCAGCTGAACTAGGAGCTAGGAAGAAAAGAGACAGATTACCTGCATGGTAATAATTCTTAGACTAGAACAATTCTCCCTAATTCAAATTAGTTATATCTTCTTTAAAAAGGAGCTAATTTGTTATTACATAGCACATAAATTAGTATAAATAATTATTAGTAGAACCAGGATTTGGTCTTACTCATTTTTGAAGAGAAACCATATATATATTATTATAACTTTTTCTTTTAGCTGCTCTTGTTTGATTATGATAAGGTGGAACTGGCAAATATGAATAGGCTCTTTTTTCAACCCCAACAAGCTGGACTTAGCAAAGTGAAAGCGGCAGAACACACATTAAGGTATGTGATGGGGAAAGTGGGTTTACAAGTATTAACAAGGAGAGGTGTCTCTCCAACTTTTAAAAATATTGCCAGAAAGATAGAATATTACATTTGATGTGAAAATTCTTTAAGAAATATTTATGTGAACACCATAAATGGCAGCTTTGTCTTTTTTTAAGGAATATTAATCCTGATGTCTTCTTTGAAGTACATAATTACAACATCACTACTGTGGACAACTTTCAACATTTTATGAATAGGATCAGGTAAAAATAGTTTTTAGAACCGTATTTACAGTATACATAACGGCACTGTTTTGACTTGGTTTTATTATTACTGTAGTAATGGTGGATTAGAAGAAGGAAAACCTGTGGATCTTCTACTAAGCTGTGTGGATAACTTTGAAGCTCGTATGGCAATTAACACTGTAAGTAAGTAATTAAGTATTCAGAACTCTTATTAATGAACCTTGATTGGTGTTTGCTTATTCTTAACTTCAATAAAAGTTGAGTGTCTGTTTTAGAAAATTGTGATAGCATGAAAAATCCAGAGCATCAAACGTGAATGCATTACGTCTGGGATTGATTAAGTTCATTGTGTGGACTCTTTAGTCCTGGTTCCTGTCTGATGTTGTGCAGTTGTAAAGTGAAAATGAAAAATACAATGTTCTAATGGAAGAAGGGGACCTATTAAGAAAAAAAAATTAAAAACACAATAAGGAAAAATTGAGAAAATCACACATAAATGCTATGGCATATGATAAGATTAACAAGAGTATGCATATTATGGGGAAAATAAACAGAAATAGCTTTTATCTCCTTTGTAATATCAGCTAGAATCACTTAGGGAAGTAGTAACATTATTTATGGAGAATGAGACAGTCTGTTGCTTCTAAGATCAGATGTTGCCTGCATATAAAAATTGCAAAATATCAATACAGGAAAAGAGCTTTGAAGTTCTGTTTATAATACCATAGAAACAGAATGCTGGGCTAAATATATCTTTGGTCTGATTTCTAATTTGGTCTCTTCCTAGGCTCTTATTCCTATTTTTAGCAAATTAAATGTTATATCTTTTCCTAAAGGCTTGTAATGAGATTGGACAAATATGGATGGAATCTGGAGTAAGCGAAAATGCCGTTTCTGGTCATATCCAGCTGATCATACCTGGTGAATCAGCTTGTTTCGCAGTATGTAATTATCCAACTTCTTGTTCTTTTCTGCTATTAAAGAAATCCAATTCTTTCATTCATCCAATTGATTGCAATGTGTGTGTTAGAGCTGTGCAAAGGTTTCCAACCAGCTTCATGGTGGATTTGAGATCTCCAGGAATGTTCTCACCTGCCATTTGCATCCACATACTGGTTCACAATACCTTCCAGCTTGAAAAAAGGCATTTTTATTGGGAGTTGAATTGTAATATTAAATAGTTAATAACCTATTGCCTTCAGAAGTTTGTTTTTCTTTTCTGTTAACTGAGAATGGGTTCAAAATCCAATCTTCTTTAAAATCCTACTTTCGAAATTTTGGAAAGGTGCTCTAGAAAAGATCTCAGCAGAGGCCCAGTTACATTTTCAATTGCAGCTCAAGTATTTGCATTCAGTCTTCCAATTCTTCCAGAACAGTGCTGAGAATAGTTTGGAATGAGTGAGTAGCTGGCCCAAAGTTCCCCAGCAAGCTTCCATAGCTGAGGTTAGATTTGGACATGGATCCAGTATATCCCGTCAAGCACATTTTACTGTATGTACTCTTTGCTACAAGACCATGTGAGATACATAATCTTTTGTTTCCAAAAAGTGGGATTAAAATGATAAAATTGGAGAGGAGTGTGACATCTCTCTTCCAAAATGCCACACTGACCATTTTTTCTGTCTCTCTGACAAGCAGTCTGAATCCATCTTATGCAGTATTTTTTGTTTTCGTCTTCAGATTTTACCAACTGCTTTTTTCAGATTATTTCCTAACCTGCAATAATTATACTTGGATTTGAGTATCACCCAGGCTAATCCATTACTGCTTAATCAGTGCTTCAAATATCTTGTTTCCATAACATCATAAAATATATAAGACATTCTGATTGGAATGGTTTATGGTGACTTGATGACAAAAATCACTTAATTGGAAGATTAATGATGACCTGATTTAAAAAAAATCTATCCCAATGCTAGCATAGCTGTTGCAACACTTGGTAAACAACATGAGCCTAATAGCAATAGATAAGTACCTGAAGATGTGCTAGGTTGCAACAGTCTGTTTTACTTTAGCTGTGTGACAATCTGTTTTAAGTAATTCCAAACCACCTTGGGCTTCAGAATTTGTCAAGATTTGGAGTTTAGCCCCAGATTAATAATTTAAATATCTTACTTCCATACTGAATACACATGATTATAAGCATCTTTTTCTGCATCTTTTTCTTTTCGCTAGTGTGCACCTCCACTTGTTGTGGCTGCAAACATAGATGAGAAAACTCTGAAACGAGAGGGAGTTTGTGCAGCCAGTCTTCCCACCACTATGGGAGTAGTTGCTGGTCTTCTTGTGCAAAATGTCTTGAAGTAAGTGGCTAAATCTTTAAGTTACCTTAATTTTAAAACCCTGATGAAAACATTCATAAGTTTTTCATGAATGGATCTTCTACAATAAAATCTTTTGACCAAGGTTCTTTGTTTTGATCTTTTAAATTCTCCTTACATTTTCTCCAGATATTTATTAAACTTTGGAATGGTGAGCTTTTATCTCGGCTACAATGCACTGCAGGATTTCTTTCCCACCATGACAATGAAACCAAATCCACAATGTAGTGACCGAAACTGCAGAATGCAGCAAGAACAGTATCAGGTAAAATACAAATTCCAAAAACAAATCCCTTACTTCTCCAATGAGTTGTATTATTCATTTAGCACTTGTTAAATGAAAAAATGAACTCTTGTAGAGTGTTTTCTCTCGTATAAGTTAATTTCAGGTAGTCCTTACTATACAATGGATACTGAGTTTGTGATTCTGTTTGAAGATATGTGTATTTTAATATAATAATAATAACAACAACAATAATAAAAGTTGGAAGGGACTTTGGAGATCATCTAGTCTAGTGGTTCTCAACCTTTTTAATGCCGCAACCCCCAACCAGTCGTAAGTCGAGGACTACTCAACCGGTTGTAAGTCGAGGACTACTCAACTGGTGCAGCACCGTTTGCAGAATGGGACTTTTGGCGGGCTCAGCAGGGCAGAGGCAGCCTGGACAATTCCTATTGGCTTTTGAAAGCCAATAGAATTAGACTCTATTCAAGAGAGTTTATTCTATTGGCTTTCAAAAGCCATAGAATAAAAGGGAGTAGCACAGCTAAGGAAAAGGGGAAAAAAATGGCGGACTGCGTTGTTTGGCAACCCCCGTGAAATGATCGTTCGACCCCAAATGGGGTCCCGACCCACAGGTTGAGAACCACTGATCTAGTCCAACCCCCTATTCAGGTAGGAAACCCTATACCATTTCAGACAAATGTACTTGGGTATCCTGCAAGCTGACAACATAAGCATACTGAAGTCAAGAAAAAGAGTAGAGATGAATACATCAAGAGAATGAAGAAGATCTTAAAGTCCAAACTCAATGGAGGAAATACCATGAAGGCAGTCAACACGTGGGCAATTCCAGTCATTAGATACACAGCTGGAATAGTGGACTGGACTCAAGCAGAACTAAAAGCAATGGATAGGAAGACCAGGAAAATAATGACAATGAATCATGCCCTTCATCCACGCAGTGACATTGACATACTCTATCTACCAAGGCAAATAGGTGGACATGGAATGCTGTAAGCACATCAAATGGTTGAAGAAAAAAAAGGGCATTGGAAGAATATCTGAAGGACAATGACAAAGATGCACTGAAATTAGTATATCAGGAAGGCTTACTGACCACTGGAGAGACCAAACTGACCTACAAGAAAGACCAAATGAAGAACAGAATAGAGGCATGTACTACAAGTACTACATGGCCAGTACATTGAAACAATAGCTGGGAAAGCAGATAATAACAAGACCTGGCAATGGCTAAGAGCAGGAAAGTTGAAGAAAGAGACTGAGGGACTAATTCTGGCTGCACAAGATCAAGCCTTAAGTACAAATGCATACAAAGACAGCAACAGACAGTAAGTGCCGCCTATGCAAAGAAGCTGAATAAACAGTGGACCACGTGGTAAGCTGCTGCAAGATTGCACAGACTGACTGTGGCAATGGCATGACAAAGTAGCAACAATGGTACATTGGAAGATCTGCAAGAAATATTATTTGCCTATAAGCAAGAACTGGTGGCATAAAATAGAGAAAGTCATAGAAAATGATAAAGTTAAACTGCTCCGGGACTTCAGAATTCAGACAGACAAGCACCTGCAACATAACACCACGGACTTAACAACTGTCAATAAGAAAGACAAAAATGTCTGGATAGTGGACGTGGCAGTGCCTGGAGACAGCAGAATAGACGAGAAAGAACTGGAGAAGATAACAAAATACAAAGACCTACAAATAGAGATAGAATGACTGTGGCAAAGGCAAGCAAGGGTAGTACCAATAGTAATAGGCGCCTTGGGTACAATCCCAAAACAACTGGAGCACCACTTGAACACCATCAGCATTGACAAATTCACCATTAATCAATTGCAAAAGGCAGCCTTACTAGGAACTGCTTCCATCCTGCAACGATATCTGTAATACCATCAAACATCCACCTCTGCCTATCCCAGGTCCTTGGTAAGGTCTCGCTAGCTAGACAAAAATGCCAAATCCACTCTGAACATCTGGCTGACTGTGCGATGATCAATAATAATAATAAAGTTGGAAGGGACCTTGGAGGTCATCTAATCCAACTCACTGCTCAGGCAGGAAACCCTATACCATTTCATACAAATGGCTGTCCAGCTTCTGGAGGCAGATTGTCCATGTGCAAAATGGTAAATGCATAAATATATTTTTTTATATTTTGTTATTAATTTTGTTGCCCAAGTTAAATTAAACAGCATCCCCAAAGATAATATGAACTACCCTTATTTAATTTTGTTTTTGTGTTATTAAAAAGCTTTTCTTGTTAGTTTTGGAGTCTTTATATTTCCAGAAAAAGGAGGCAGTGAATCCAAAAGAAGAGTTAATAGACCAGGAAGAAGAAATAGTTCATGAAGACAATGACTGGGGTAAGCAGTATTTAAAAAAAAAAAAAAATTCATGAAGATAATGCATGTTCCTATATTTCATTGTTTTAAATCAATCCATTTGTGATGGTATCATTTTTTTCTTTGTCCCTGAGGATCCTCAGGCAATTCCCAAAAGGAAATCAACAAAGCTATTATTACAATTTGAGGATCTCACATCTTCCTACAGTACTGGGAACAATGGAGAATTTTTAGGGAAGAAAACTGTTCCTCCTGGACAGAGTCAAACTGCTCTATCAATATTTTCAGAGGAAATTGCTGAATACCATTTATTTGAAAACAAGCCAAATTGTATAACAGATAATATGGAAGATTAAGAGAAGTTAGTTAGAAGTTAGAAGATTGCAGAGACCAACTGTAAATGTACCTTGAACTGCCCACCATAAGGCAGGCTGATTATTTCATGAAACTTTGTAAGCAAGCAAATTGTAGTCTGCCGGCCTTTCTCTCTGAGCCATTAAAGGACAGAAGTCTACTTTTTTCTACAAGAGAGAATACAGAAAATAACTGGACATACTGTTAACAAGAAAAAAATTTAATGGCCATACTGTTCATGTAGACATTTTGGTGTTTTTAGTGCAGCATACTTAGCAGTACATTCAGTAAAACTTTCTAAATATTACTTATTTCTACTTAGGTTCTCTGGACAGGAAAGAGCACAAATAGTCAAGAAACCTATTATTTTTAAAGACTCTATGATCCTGATTCTATTAAATTACCGAATTTTTGTCTTTATGTTTTTTGGTGGAATGTTCAGGTATAGAGTTAGTTTCGGAGATTTCAGAAGAAGAATTGAAAGATGATTCTAGTTCGGTTCCTGATCTTCCAAAAGGAATTATGTTGGCTTACACAATACCAAAAAAGGTAATAAAAATGGTTGGCATTCAAGTTCTTGAAATGTGGTTTTAGGATCTAATCCATCATATCTTATTTAGAATGGGTTTAACTGGCTTTTGCTAAACTGATTTAAAGTGTTTATTTTCTAACCGTTCTTTATTTCTCCAAAATGTATTATTTAAGTTGTCCATTACTGTGGAAACAGTTGCAGAAGTACAATCATTGGCTTGTACCAGCACACCTGCCAGATTTGGTTATCTCTACCCTGTGGAACAAATGTTTTGTTTCAGTGTGTAGTCCTTAATGGAACTGCATCTACATGAAAGAAAGCATGCAGTGAGATACCCCAAGGCTCTGTCTTAGGCCCCATATTTTTCAATATCTTCATAAAGGATTTAGATGAGGGGGACAGAAGGGGAACTCACCAATTGCAGACATCAAGCTGGTGGAAAAAAATTAACACTCCAGAAGATGGGCTCAAAATACAGAAGAATCTCGACACTGGGCACTAAATTACAAAATGAAATTTAATGGTAAGAAAAGTATGGTTTTACACTTAGGCAAGAAAAACCAAACACACAAATATAGAATAAGTGGTACTGGTCAGTAATAGTAACTGTAACAGGATTATGGAGACTTAGTTGGCAATCACTTAAATATGAGCCAACAGTTTGCTGCAGCCTTCAAAATAGCTAATGCAGTTATAGGCTGCATTAATAAAGGCATAGAATCAAGATCATATGAAGTGTTATTACCATTTTATAATGCCTTGGTAAGATCACACTTGGAATACTGCATCCAGTTTTGGTCATCACAATACGAAAATGTTGAAGTTCTAGAAAAGAGTTCAATTGAGCAATAAAAATGATTAGGGAACTGGAAGCTAAAACATGAAGAATGGTTGCAGGATTAGGTATGAAAAGAGAGATGACTTGATAGCAGTGTTAAAATATCTAAGGGGTTTGCCACAAAGAAGAGGTCAACCAATTTTCCAAAGCACCAGAAGGCAAGACAAGAAGCAATGGATGGAAACTAATCAAGTAGAGAACCAACCTAGAACTAAGGAGAAATTTTCTGACAGAAGAATTAGTCAGTGGAACAACTTGCCTTCAGAAGTTGCGAGTGCTCCATCACGGGATGTTTTTAAGAAGAGATGAGACAGCCATTTGTCTGAAATGGTATATTGTCTCCTCCTTGAGCAGGGGATTAGACTAGAAGACCATCAAAATCTCTTATTCTTTGGGTGAATTGGATATGAAGGACTTATTTTTCTTTTCTATTATTAACAGGAAGAGAATGTTCCCGCTGGAGAAATGGTTGAAGAATCTGAAGAAAGTCTTGAAGAACTTATTGCTAAAATGAAGAATATATAGTGTGAAGAATGTGTCAAAGATCTATTAAATTTCAGTGCTTTTTAGCTATTTAATGGTTTCTGGCTAAATTTGGCCTTTTGTATATTTATCAACCTGTTTTGGTAATAGTATCATTAAATTCCCATAACTTAATACATTATTAGAAGCTATGAGGGTCCAATTTCCAGCAAGCATTAAAGCAACACAATAAATTTAATACTATGAGAATGATAGTGGTATTTCTAATCAAATCAACCACAAAAGTATTTTCTAAATGGTAAAAGTTTACTTGTTAGGTAAATATAAAGTAATTTGGCAAAAATTCTAAGGTCCCTTATAATGTTTAGAAAAAGGTTTCACTATGTGTAGCTATATTTAATTTTTGAAATACTGTTCTAATTCACTCATAATGCTAAATCATGAATTAAGTGTAGAGTTCCTTCTCTGGATGTTTTGAGTTTGAATCTTACGTATCTTGTACAGTAATCATAACAGCTGAAAATCAAAATGAGCAAAGTTGTGCAAGACAAGTGTTGCATTACATACACATATTTTTATAAGTCTAAGCAAAATTTAAGCAGGAAGATTGCTCTTATGCTATTTTACAATCAGCAAGAGCAATAAATCATGATCCAAGATTATTTTTTCTGATTTCCTGTTATACAAATTCATATAGGATATATAGTTTAAAGGGAATTCAATTGTATTAGTACAAAGTCAATAATCTATAGTCTGAAAGTCATTCATTAGGAATATACCTTCCTTTTAAAACATAATTTTAGATTTTACATAATTTTTAAAAAAAACAAAAATGTTTCTTTCATGTTATAGAAGAAGGAAAGAGGAATCTGTGTTTCACATTTTTCATGGGCTGGTAATGGCATAGTATCCTAAAAACCATGGTTTAGCATTGTATGTTTATTTAAACTCACTTGTCTAGTACTATATTTGTTGTCTTTTACATTATTTTTTGGCTCATAACTAATTTCGGTATATTTGATAGAATTTTATATTTTGCATCCTAAATTAAAAGGTACATCTGCATAACTGGTCATGTTATTTAACAGTTGAAACAATGAATCTAAAGTAAGAATATTAGTACTGTAGTTAAGCAAAAACATAGTTAGGAAGAGATGGGACTTTTGCACAAACACACTGTAAAAAAAACTTCTTAAAAATCGTTATCTATGATTTAACTTAATGGGAAAATATTTCACAAACACTCAAAATTCTTGTCCGAACCAAGTCAAGAATGAAAAATAAACCCAAAGATAGACTTTACAAGCCAGAGAAAATGGATGGGAGCCTTTGGCGGAACAAAAACCTTAATTTAGTTTCAATAGTTCTATTTACCTGTAGATTATCCTAGATATGTAACAAGTGTTAATACTGAAAACTTTTAATGCATTGGGGATATATTGAATAATGCATACAGATGAAAATAAGATTAAAAGATTCAGCACAAAAAAGTGTGAATTGAGTATTAGGTGGCAGCAAAGGATACATATACAATTATCCTCAACTTACGATCATTCAGTTACAATGGCTGAACAAATTATTATGTCTAGTCCTTGGAGTTTCAGTTGTGCCAGTTGATCGTGATTTGGATGCTTGGCAACTGGCTCCCACTTAAATGACCTGTTACAGTAACCTGTAATCATATGACTGCCATTTCCTTTTTTTCCAAGAATTTTATTAAGATTATCATGACAGAAAATACAAATGAAAATAAAAACAAATAAAATGGGAAAGAGAAAGAAAGGCGAAGGAGAAGTGTAAAGAATGAAAGGGCAAAAAGCATTCACTTTGAAGTTTTTTCAACATAATAAAATATAAAATAGAATTAGAGCCTCCAAGTTTTTACTTTTATCAACTTAACAAGTAATAGCCACTAATATAACAACAAACTAGCTAATCAGAAAAACCCAAAGTCAAGAGGTCATTTTTTTTCTGTCTCGAACACAAAGAGCGATTTTCAATTAGAAACAAAGATGGATAATTGTGTTAGCATTATCACTTTTTTCCATCTGTTTTTCTGTGGGGATTGACATATCTTTCTGGGCATGCAGATTTCTCACTGCAACTAACATATATAATAACTAAGTTCCAAATTTGTTTTCCAACTCCTTAACTAGTAATCCTAAAAAGATAAAGTTTCAATTTTATGTTTGTTTTAAAAATATTCTGCATTATAACATGAATCTAGGCCCAGTATTTTTTGCTTTATCAAGTCTGTCAATGATTAAAAAATACCTTTAGAATTATATTTCCAACATACATTTGAAACAACTTTAAACATCTTTGACAGTTTATCAGGTATTAAATACCAATGATGCATTGTTTTATAAAAAAGTTATTTCAAATTGTAATTCACTGTAAACTTTCAATTGTTCGCCTGCACATTTCCCCATTGCTGAAGCATTATACCCAAAATTCCTTGCCTGCTGAATCAGGCATTCTTTCACATATTTTCAAAATTCAGCTTCAACATTTAATAGATCTTACCACCAACATGTTTATCATTAGCACGTAATAAAATTTCAAATTCCTATTTTGCAAATTCAAACCCATATATTTTCCTATCTAAATTAAGTCTTTCCTTAAACTGTAGTATGGGAGCCAATGCAAAAGACGTCCTTCAGATTCCAATTCTTTTGACTTGAATGAAAGACTTGGGTAATAGTCCACTGGTCGCTCTCACTGTCATTTCTTTTCTTGAAAAGCTTTCTAAATGCCACCTAGAGGTTCTTTGAGGGAAAGCTTTGTTTTATATTTATTCCAAACTCTTAGAATGATTGTTACCATCAGCATTTATTGTACCATGGGTAGGCAGACATCCAAATCTCATTCATCGTCTTCCAATTCTTATTTTTAAGATCACCCAGTTTTTCATCTAGAGCAAACAACAAGCATCAAAGTACAGTTTTAAATCTGGTAAACCCAAACCACCTCTTTCTTTAGCATCTTGCAACAATTTATAATTCTTTTTTTTCTTTTGCCACATAAATACTTAAGAAATATCCTTTTGCCATTGTTTAAATAGAGCATTGGTAATCAATATCAGCAGTGTTTGAAATAAAAATACATTTGTGGTAAAACATTTGTTTTAATTTCAGATATTTGTATGTATATCCATTTCCTGCTTCTTGTAGATATTGGAATAAAAATTATAAAACATTTCAATAGATTCATTATCTCTTAATACGGTGTCATCTTCTTGAATTTTGTTTATAATTTTCTTAATTTAATAAACCAGGTATTTTCTGGTTTATTTGCATACTCAAAATGTTTTTATTTGGTATAATTCAGTTTTGTCTCTGTTCCTGAATGGATAATTGCTGATGTAACAACTTAATTGGATGTAGAATTTTAGATTCTATTAACATCTTCTGCAGTTCCATTTCTGTAATTTTAATTTCATCCTATATCCTTTGTATTTTTTGAAATTTCTTCTTCTCCAAACAGTTGAATTGAGTAAAGGAACCCCTCATAACAGTTTCACTTGCATCCTAAACTATCATTAAGTGTTTCTTTATCCAGTTATCAATATATTCATTTATTTTTTAACTCCTTAATAATCATATTCTGTAAAATACTTTCATTTAATCTTCAACTATAATTCAAAGTCTCATGGGATTGCCATTTTGGACTTTCTGTGCTGGCTAACCCAGAAAATCAATGGGAAGCTACAGGGAAGGTTTCAAGTTGCTGGGGTAAGTTTCCCTCACCTATGAATCATTCCTTAGCCTCTCTATATCTGTACTGCATTGGTCATTTGTGCACTTCTGCATACCCTTTCTCAGCCTCATGGTGCCACCTCTACAACTGACGCACTTCTCGCTCTTTGTCTGATCCTTGTTACATCTCCCTAGAACTTTACCAGGTCTCCCTTTCATCCTTCACTGCACTTTACTTCCACATATCGCTGCATACCATTACGCTTTGCTTACTGTTCCTCTCACACACCTTCTTGAATCTAACTGCACTTCCCTTATACCATCATATAATATAATAATAATAATATAATGATGATGATGATGTTAATGTTGGAAGGGACATTGGAGACCATCAAGTCCAACCCCCTGCTCAGGCAGGTAACCCTATACCATTTCGGACAAATCGCTGTCCAGTTTCTTCTTAAAAACTTCCAGTGTTGGAGCATTCACCGCTTCTGGAGGCAGGTTGTTCCACTGGTTAATTGTTCTGTCAGGAAGTTTCTCCTTAGTTCTAGATTGCTTCTCTCCTTGATTAGTTTCCATCCGTTGCTTCTTGTCCTGCCTTCAGGCGCCTTGGAAAATAGTTTGACTCCCTCTTCTTTGTGGCAGCCCCTGATATTGGAACACTGCTATCATGTCCCCCCCTTGTCCTTCTTTTCAACAATTTCCATTATTCTAGCCATACCTCGTACCCATGCATATCTTCCCTGATCCTCACTGTGACATCCTTGTGCAATGTCCGAGCCACACTGTACCTCCCTTGCACACCCTCATACACATACCCTCCTTCCTCTCTTGCACCTTCATCTGCACCTTGCACTCTTTCCAAGCCTCACTGTTCCCGTTGCAACCTTGCACCCTTCCCCATTCAGCAGCAACTACTTACTTACCTAACAGAACCCTGGCAAGCTTTTTGGGACTTGAAACTTCCTACCAGCTTCCCGCACTGATTTGACTGAGGGAAGTCAGCAGGAAATTAATGTGCCTAACAACTGTGGGATTCTGTTAACAGTGGCAACCAGGACTGCAGAGGTTACCATCACTTTTACAACCATATAGAAGAATTTTCTTAGCAGAGGAACTTTCAGTCCCAATTGCCATCATAAGTTGGGGTTACTTATAATTATCTCTCTGATTCTTTTCAGTGTTAAAATCAACACTATCACTGACACAATAATATTATCATTAAGCTAGAATCAAACATTTTGGAAAGTGAAATTAAATGGACTCTAGAAAATACAGTTAATAGCAAAGGTGTTGATGAAATCCCAACATAGGTTTTTAAAATCTTGTACAATACTGTTGATATGTTGCTTGCAATTTATAAACAAACCTGAAAAACATACTGGCCAAAAGACTGGAAAAGATAAATCAATATATGTACTGTAGTCCTTGACTTAGGACGACAATTGAGCCAAAATTTCTGTTGTTAAGTGAGACATTTGTTAAGTGAATTTTGCCCCATTTTATGATCTTTCTTGCCTCAGTTATTAAGTGAATCACTGCAATTGATAAATTAAACACCCAGTTGTTAAGTGACTCTGGCTTCCCACTGACAAAGATCGCAAAAGGTCCCTGATGTTGGGACCCAGCAAATAGGAACCAATTGCCAAGCATCTGAATTTTGATCATGACTATAGGAATGCTAGAAAGGTTGTAACTGTGGAAAATGGTCATTTTTTTTCATTGTAACTTTAATGATCACTAAATGAACTGTTGTAAGTTGAGGACTACCTGTATTGCAACACCACAAAAACTTATATATTTCATATGCAAGTAAGATTATGTTTTAAGATTTTGCAGCTAAGGCTTCAAAAATACATGAGTCCTGCCAGAGATGTAAACTGCTTTTGACGGACAGAGGCACTCAGGACATTGAAAACATCTGATGGATAATGGAAAAGGCATAGGAGTTCCCAGAAGACATTTATTTTTGAATTATTGATTGTGCTAAGGCTTTTGTGATAAATCATTATATGTATAAAAAGTATACGTTGTTACCCTGTCCATTTAATTTATAGAACGTATATATGAGAATTGCTGGTAGAAATTCTTTGGCTCAGAAATCCAGATATAGCATTTGTATCCATGAAATAAATTATTTTGAAAGAAATATTGTGACAAATCTATTCAAAATATCAAAGTACAGTGAATCATTCTACTATTAAAGGTATCTACTGTTAAGCTGTGGTCTCCCAGTCATAATGTATGGCTATGATAAGCTGACTATGAGAAAGGCTGACATGAAAATGTGATGGCTTTGTACTGTGCTGCAGGAGAAAATTGTTGAAGAGTACCTTGGACAACAAGAAAATAAAGAGTTTTATCTTGAAGTCAAGATAAAGTCTAGAATCTAGATCAGTGGTTCTCAACCTTTTTAATGCCGCGACCCCCAACCGGTCGTAAGTTGAGGACTACTCAACTGGTTGTAAGTCGAGGACTACCCAACCGGTCGTAAGTCAAGGACTTTCCCTGCCCAGGAGCGCCACACATGCGTGGTGCTGCCCCCTGCGCCAACCGAGGCGTAGCTGGCAAGCGGCAGAGACGGCGCAGGCCAACCACCGGCTGGGCCACCAGCTGGCCCAGCCCAAGGGAGGTAAGGCACCCGCCGGGCCCCACACGCACCAGCAACCCTCCCTGCGCCCGCCGGCCTCCAACCTCCCACCCTTGGCCCTCTTTTACTTACATTTTTAGTAGTTGCTCAGCAGGGAGGGGTGGAAACTTCCAGACAGCTCGCCTTCGCTGCAGACAACTTGCAGTACCATTTGCAGAATGGGACTTTTGGCGGGCTCAGCAGGGCAGCCTGGACAATTCCTATTGGCTTTTGAAAGCCAATGGAATTAGACTCTATTCAAGAGAGTCTATTCTATTGGCTTTCAAAAGCCAATAGAATAAAAGGGAGTAGCACAGCTAAGGTGGGAAAAGGTGGGAAAAAATGGTGGACTGCATTGTTTGGCGACCCCCGTAAAATGGTCGTTCAACCCCAGATGGGGTCCCGACCTACAGGTTGAGAACCGCTGATCTAGATAAACTGCATAAAGCAAAATAAGGTGGTTCACTAAAAACACCAATAAATATTTAATATTTGATACAAAAACAATACTGTGGAGAAGGCCCACAGAAAAAAGATAGCTATACAATATTACTGACTGTAAACATGAATTATAACAAATAAAGCAATCAATGGCAGACAATCCTGCCAGCTATTATTTATTAGGTCACAAAGAGCCAGAAATGGCTGAACGACTAACAACAGCGATATGGATTTTTGAATTTAGATTTGATATTCATAAATAAGAGATTTTCTCACTCCAAGCTTTCAACAATCATCTTCTTTAAAGTAATGCATTTAAATATAATATTTCAAATTATTGTCACTTTGGTAGCATTTATTTTTAAATTTAGAAATTTGAGATGCATGACTAGAATCAGTTGAAATATTTGTATTGAATACTACTGTAGCCATAATTTTAAAACAATTTTAGTGTTAATGCAATTTCATTCATGAAAAAAGGCCTTCCAAATGAATATCTCTAAAGCTGTTTATTGAAATGCATTTGTTGTACGACTTGCAGTTAATATATAAAAATGTATTTTGAACAGTAGTAGTTAAAAGACCTTGCTTTTAAACATTTAGCTTTTGAGCACAAGCTAGTTTGCTGATTCAAATATATACTTCTAAAGGATATAATAGTTTATTATAATAGTACAGTTACTTAAAGTTTTATAATTCATTTTTATAATTGTTTGCTCCTTCTCTGACTCTAACTTGGCTAACAGTCTTGTTTAAAAATTACTTCAATACCAAAAATAAAGGCATGGCTATCATTTAGGTTTTAATACAGCTTTTATACAGTTTTAAAACATTTTGCTCATTTTATGTAATGTTCTTGAATTATATGGAAAAAGTTCATCACTGATAATTCAGAAACTCACTCTTTTGTAGCAGTTTCTGGTTTCAATATTATGCTTTTGTTTCCAGTGCTGAACACATGAAATGTTAAACTTTATATAATTTTGTCACATAGCTCTGAAATTCAAAATGATAGAATATACAGAAAATTCAGCTTTCAAAATATCTCTAACACCATTTTCTTGAGCACAGGTTCTCCTCAGGGCTGCGTCCTAAGTCCGCTGCTGTGCACCCTGTTGATCCATGACTGTAGTGCTAGGTTTGCACCAACCATATTGTGAAGTTCGCAGTAGTGGGCCTTATTCATGATGACAATGAGGGTGCTTACCACAAGGAGGTTGAGGGTTTGGTGAACTGGTGTAAGGAAAACAGTCTCGTTTTAAATATTGGAAAAATCAAAGAGATCATTGTCAATTTCAGAAAAGGCAGGCACAGCCACACTTCTCTGTGCATTAATGATTCACCTGTAGAGATGGTTACCAGCATCAAATTCCTGGGTGTGCTTGGTCGCTCAACAGTGAAACATTGGTGAAGTGGGCACAGCAGCACCTGCA